AAATTAATTTCTTAACAGAGACTCTCTCTGCCTGAAATTATGCCACTTAAATGAAGGCAGATTTTTGCACAGACGGGCCACGAGCTTCCAATTCAGTTCTGTTATTCAAAACAGATTCAAACTTCTGTTTGTCTTAGTGCTTCTCTTTTGTATCAATGCACACACACCTAAAAGTCTGAGGTCTGCCCACATGTTACAATCCATCTCTGTATTGTCGAAGGCTTTAATGGCCAGAATCACTAGGTTGTTGTAAGTTTTTCTAATGTTTTTAAATCTTTGTGTGTTATTGCTTATATGTTCAATTGTATTATTTATATTGTATTATTTATATTATTCATATTGTTTTATTTGTTTGCTTGTTTGTTGATGTATTGTTGTATTTGTATTTGACAGGCTTGGCCTCATGTAAGCCGCCCCGAGTCCCTTCGGGGAGATGGTGGCAGGGTATAAATAAAGTATTATATATTTATTTTATAACTTATTTATTATATATTTATTTGTATTGTCAAAGGCTTTCATGGCCGGAATCACTGGGTTGTTGTAGGTTTTTTCGGGCTATATGGCCATGTTCTAGAGGCATTCTCTCCTGACGTTTCGCCTGCATCTATGGCAAGCATCCTCACTACCTCTGAGGATGCTTGCCATAGATGCAGGAGAAACGTCAGGAGAGAATGCCTCTAGACCATGGCCATATAGCCCGAAAAAACCTACAACAACCCTATTATTATTATTATTATTATTATTATTATTATTATTATTATTATTATTTTCTGGGCTATATGGCCATGTTCCAGAAGCATTCTCTCCTGACGTTTCACCTGCATCTATGGCGGGCATCCTCAGAGGTGGTGAGGTCTGCTGGAAACTAGGAAAATGGGGTTTATATATCTGTGGAATGTCCAGGGTGGGAGAAAGAACTCATATCTCTTTGAGGTAGGTGTGAATGTTTCAATTGGACACCTTGATTAGCATTTAATATCCTAGCAGTTTCACTGTCTGGCTTATTACTGCCTGGGGGAATCTTTTGTTGGGAGGTGATTAGCTGGCCCTGATTGTTTCTTGTCTGGAATTCCCCTGTTTTTTGAATGTTGTTCTTTATTTACTGTTATGATTTTAGAATTTTTTAATATTGGTTGCCAGATTTTGTTCATTTCCATCGTTTATTCATTTGTGTTGAAATTGTTCACATGTGTTTGGGCTTCAATGGCTTCTTCTGACATGGTAGTTGTTAAGAGTGGTCCACCTACCTCAAACAGAGAAGAGTTCTTTCTCCTAACCTGGACATTCCACAGATATATAAAATTCCACTTGCCTAGTTTCCAACAGACGTCACAACCTCTGAGGATCCCTGTCATAGATGCAGGTGAAACGTCAGGAGATAATGCTTCTGGAACATCCCCATACAGCCTGGATAACTTACACCAACCCATCTCTGTGTATTTGGCTCTTTTCTCCTCCAGGAATCTCAAGTTGGCATATTGCTTCCCCTCCCCTTTATTCTCGTGACAATATTGTGAAGGATGGTGACTACCCAAGGTCACCGATAATCTTTCTGTTCAAGCAGAACTTTCAAGCAGGATCTCTCTGTTCTTTTTTTTTTTTTTAATTCAGTCTGTTAACCCCTATAACAGCATTTCTCAACCTGGGGGTTGGGACCCCTGGGGGGGTCGTGAGGGGTTGTCAGTGGGGTTACCAAACACAATCAGGAAACACAGTATTTTCCGTTGGTCATGAGGGTTCTGTGTAGGAAGTTTGACCCAATTCTATCATTGGTAGGGGATCAGAATGCTCTTTGATTGTAGGTGAACTATGAATCCCAGCAGCTACAACTTCCAAATGCCAAGGTCTGTTTTTCCCAAGCTCTACCAGTGTTTGGGCATATTGGGTATTCATGCCAAGTTTGGTCCAGATCCATCATTGCTTGAGTCTACAGTGCTCTCTGGATGTAGGTGAACTACAACTCCAAAACTCAAGGTCAATGCCCGCCAAACCCTTCCAGTATTTTCTGTTGCTCATATGGGCCTATGTGCCAATTTTAGTTCAATTCCATTGTTGGTGGAGTTCACCACTCACCTACAATCAATGCTCTTTGATTGTAGGTGAACTATAAATTCCATAAACTACAACTCCCAAATGACAAAATCAATCCCCCACCAACCCCACCAGTATTCAAATTGGGGCGTATCAGGCATTTCTGCCAAATTTGGTCCAGTGAATGAAAATACATCCTGCATATCAGATATTTACATGACAATTCCTAACAGTAGCAAAACGACAGTTCTGAAGTAGAAACGAAAATAACTTTATGGATGGGGGTCACCACAACAGGAGGAACTGTATTAAGGGGTCACAGCATTAGGAAAGTTGAGAATCACTGCCCTATATTCCTGCTTCTTGGCAGGGGGTTGGACTGGATAGCCCATGAGGTCTCTTCCAACTCTTTGATTCTATGGTTCTATAATATTTAGAATAGGGATGGGCAAAGTTTAGCCCTCGAGAATATGACAACATTCCTCCCCATTAGTTATGCTGGCTATGGTGGATAGAAGTTGCAATCCAACAACATCTGGAGAACTACATGTTGCCCGCTCTTGGCCTTGAATGAAGCTGATAGCTAGCTAAACTAGGTTACTAAGTCATAAATCCTGTCCTGGAGTCTTATACAGATTGGATAGGACAGGCCGAGTGTCATCTGTCCAGTTCTATGACCCTACAGCAGCCTTTCGCAAGCTACTGTGTCCTCCAGATGCACTGCACTACACCATGGACTACAAGTCCCACCAGACCAAGCCAGGGTACGGTTGGCAGAGTATATGGTGCACATGGAAGAAAGCACCTTAGGAAAAGCTGCAGTAAAGGCAATGACTTGTCAAAGTGAGATGCCATTTTCCTCTCTAGGGAAGGCAGAGGGCCCTCCAACCTTGCCTTGGCAAATTGGTTGGCCTCTTATGAAATTCTGCCAAGCCTAGGGAACGATGCACAGCATGCCTTTGATCCTTGCCTGGCATTGGACAGGGTGATGGTGTGAGACAGCCAAGGGCCCTTCCATACAGACATATAACCCAGAATACAAGACAGAAAATGCTACAATATCTGCTTTGAATTGGAATACCTGAGTCTGCACTGCCACATAACCCAGTTCAAAGCCAATAATGTGTATAATAATAATAATAATAATAATAATAATAATAACTTTATTTATACTCCGCCACCATCTCCCCGACAGGGACTCGAGGCGGCTAACATGAGGCCAAGCCCAAAGATACAATACAGCAAAATAAAATGCAGAATGCAGACAACAAAAATTACATCAGAATAAAATGCATACAGTAGTAAAATAAATAAAGCAAATTAACACAATATAAAATCGAACAGAAAGGGCAGGCCAAATGGATGAGGTCAAATGATAAAACCCTGGATGAGGTAGGAATAGGAAAAGTGTAATTGAGGGGAGCCCAAAAAGGATAAACAGTGGGGTAAGGCTTTCAGTTTAGGATGGGGAAAAGTGCATCATAGGGCCAACACTATAGATGGAACAAACAGAAATGGGATAAATGGTCACTCTCCAAAGGCACATTGGAAGAGCCAAGTTTTGGAAGGGCTCCTACTGATAGGAACTGGGATGGAAAGGGTAAATAGGGACCTTAAAACCTCTTTAAGGCTAACAGTTTATGAAAATAGACTGAAACCAACAAGTGAGCAAAAGGTGTGCAGGCAAAGATGGAAAGGTGCTGCTTGCCGGAGAGCATCTCTCTCAATTTGTCTCAAAGGCACCTCCACGGCCACCCTACCCGACACAGTCAAGGCCGGAAACCATGCGAGAAGCTGAGATTTCACATCAAATGTGTTATTCCATTTACTACCAGCCACCAGACATAAATGGGTTCATTAATAATCCCTCCCTCGCCCCTAGCGTTTCATAAAAGGGATGCTTTACCGATGGGGGGGATGAGTAATGAAGAGCAATTTCTTTCTCTGGGTTGTTGTAGGTTTTTTCAGGCTATATGGCCATATTCTAGAGAATTTCTTTCTCCCTTCGCCTTCCCACCTTTGAAAATCAAGTCACCCCAATGGCCTGGTTCAACCCCACCCCTTCTTTCCTTCCCCATTTTGCAATGGTGAGCACAAAAAAGGGGGGGGGCAGAAAGGGTGTTGTTGGGTAGGAGGAGATGTATAATACCAACACTCTCTCCAATGATATCTGCGGGCCCGATGCTACAAAAGCCACATTTTCAGATATTCTGGCAGCCTGTGATTCACCATTTCAACGCCCAGCATCAAATTCTGTCAAAAGTAGGCCCGGATCTCATCCACCAGCCCTTCATTGTGAGACAATCTACTTCCCTTCAGCCGATATATTTGAATACACCAAAAACCAAGGGGATAATAAAATGCAAACAAAAGAAAACACGGCCTCTTTCCTGTTGGTGCTTCTAGCCCTTGAGCACAAAAGCAACATGCTTTGCAAAATCAAGACCTTCAACAGGAAATCGTATTGAAGAGAGGAAGGGGGAGCCCTTGCTTATCTATCAGGCTTCGGCCTGGTTCTCAGAAAGAGGGTGGAAAGCCTATATCTTTCCTGTGCCGCTTCGGATGACAGATGGAAGCTTACACGCCTGAATACTCACAAAACAAAACAATGTCCCCACAAAGCTCGCCACGGATAGAAGACTAACACATCAGAGGAAATGTGAGGCTGGAAACCTTGTCCTCGACATTGTGCAAAGAAGTATAGTTATTTAATCATTTGTTGGGTTTTCTATGGAAGGGCATTGTCACATACTTGCTGTCTTTGAAGGGCTACAAACAAGAAACCCTGGTTCTCCATCTCATCAGTGAGAAATTATGCCCAAAGGCAGGGACTGCGAACTTGCATCCTACTAAGGTTGTGGGATTCTGATTTAGAATTTGCATTTCTATTATACACCACATCACATCCCAAAGATAAGTGGTCCTCCTGGGCCCCACTACTACAAGGGACACTGCACCCAAAGGCCTACCTGAATAGGGGCTGTGCTGAAATGGATCTTGCGGTTGGGGGCAGACTCTTCCTCTTCTGACAAGCCAGCGATCTCCATACAGCTGGATTCTGGTGCGTACAGTCCGTCGGCATCCTCGTCTTCGTCCAGCCCGCTCCCTCCCGAATCCTCCCCCAGCCCACTATAGGCACTGATGTCCACCAGGTCAGCCTCGGAGAAGTCTTCCTTCTTGGACTCATCACACAAGTCATTCTCCTCTGGTCCCTCAGCCTTGGTAGCTTCCTCACCATAAGAACTTGCCAACGTGTCTGGAGTTTCCAAGTGAGACTCAGACCCCAGCCGCCCATTTTCCAAGGCCGCATGGACTGTCACCTCCGCCTGGATCACCTCGGCCCTGAGAGCGTCCGACCCTTTGGAGGCCTTGCTGTGCTCCTCCGCTATGGCGGCTGCCACTGCCACCTCTGCCGCCTCGAACTCCTGCTCCGAGTCTCCACTCTCCTCCACCTCCACAGGCTTGATCTTACGCACCTCTTGGACCTTCTGTGGACGGAGGCCTGCATGACTGTCCTTATCACCCGGCTTCCCTGCTCCGACACCACCTGGACCACCAGATGGAGGTTTGCCTTGGTTCTTGTCAGCCTCGGGCTGCTGTCCTCTCGCCTGGGCAGCAGGTCCATCGCTACTCCGAGTGTCCGCCTTGGCCCCTGCTTCGGGCGCCTGGAGAAAGACCCTGGACCTTTTGGGAACAATCTTGGAGTTGAGAGGCCCGACTTTGCCCGGTGCTTTGTGAAGGTTGTTCCTCAGGTCGGCCTTCTCAAAGACGGCACTGAGCTGGCTGACGGTGGGCGAGACGGCTTCGGTGTCCAGCTTGTCCAGCGACTCAGTGCTCCCGTTGAAGCGCACCACCACGTCCAGCTTCCTATCCTGGAAGCCTCCCCTTTCTTTCCTCAGCAGGAGCTTGTTGGTGGTCTCCTTCTCCTGAAGGCTCCTCTCAAAGATCTTCCGAGTCTCCTGGAGCTTGGACAGCGGCTTGTCCGTCTTGGAGTCGAAGCGGCTCACCCGCTCGGACACGCTGGTGCCCAGCTTCAGCAAGGCGCTGTGGTCCACGTTCTCATTCAGGCTGCTGGCCCGGGGCAAGGACAGCCGGACGGGCTTCTCCTTCAGCTTGGCCAGCTCCACTCCTCCAACGCCAATGCTGCCACCGCCAGCGCCGCCACCTCCTCCGGCCTCGCCTCCCATTTGGAGGAACATGTTCTTGATGCGGTGCACGTTGGAGCCATACTTCTTGTGCCGGGCTTTCTTGGCCTCCTCGCTCTCGGCGTTGCCCAGGGCATCTTTGGGGGCTTTCAAGGCTTGGATGCCGGCTTCGTAGGCGTTCCGGTGAGGCGAGGCGCTCCGCAGGCTCCCTCCGTTGCCGGTGCTGCTATTGCTGCTGGCGCTGCTGTTGGTGCCACTGCCTGGACAGTTTTGGGGCTCGGTCTTCATCATGGTTCAGCCGGACTCCGGGTGTCGCGGACACCACATAGCCTCCACTGCTTCCTCCTCGACTGCCTCCTCTTCCTCTTCCTCCCTTCCTTGCTCAGCTGCAGCCCAGACTCACATCGCGAGAAGCCAGCGAAGAACTGCGCCGTAGTGCAACAGCGGAGGCTGCAATAGCAGCAACAGCGACAGCTCCATCTAGAAAGCGGCTTTCATTGTGTCGGGGAGGGAAAGGCGGTCAGTCAGTCAGTCATTGACTGGGGTCGGGGTTGGGAAGAGGGGGGGTATGTGAAAAATGGGTCGGCCAGCAGCTAAGCAGGGAAGGAGTAGGGGTAGGAGTAGTGAGGTTGGAATGGGGTCCTTACCCCTGGGATGGGTGGCAATGGGGAGGACAGAAAGAGATCTCCCTTCCTTCCCCAGGCCCACTCCTGCAGGCAGCTTGGGTGGGTTATGCCTTCATCACCCCTTCTTCTTCTTCCTCCTCCTCCTCCTCTTCCTCGCTGTGTCTTTCTATCTTCTCTTTCCTTTTTTTAATCCTCTGCTTGTGCAGCAGCTCAGCGATGGAGACCCAGCCCTGATGCAAACGGCACCCTGGAAAGAAGAGGGAAAAAAGGAAATTAAAAAGGAGGGGGGAAGCAGAAGGGAAATAAGAGGAAATTCCCTCTGGGTCTTAAAGGGATCCTGCTTCTAGGGCACACAGTCACAAGCGCCCAGAAAGGAAGCGGAAAAAAAAAACCCCCCGCTGCTGCGAGACACGTTTTTCCTCCTCCTTCTCCTCCTCCTCTTCTCCCTCCCTCCTTCCCTCTCTCTTTCTCTCTCTCTGCCAAAAAGAAAGGGAGAAAAAGCCCACTGAACTCGTCAACCCATGGCAAGGGGGAAGAAGGGCGAGGAGGGAAGCGGGGCCACGCTTTGGTGCTTCTGCCTCGCCCATCAATTATTCAAAATCATCCTCATCATCCAGCATAATCCAATACCTTCCTCGTGGCGGAGGCTCCCACGCAGCTCCCGGGCCCTTGGCCTTTGGGGCGGAGGGAGGGAAGAAGGCGCAGCCAGGACTCCGTATCCGCGAGTCCCATTATCCACGTTTTGAGAATATAGATATTCATACATGCATACGTATACACACTATGTATATAATATATATTCTATATACCATACAATATATATTATATATAATACAATATATAATATATTGTCTAAATACATAAATAATATTATATATTAAATTGTGTCTGTCTGTATGTATATATTATTATCTATATAATATATTATCTATATAAATAAAGTGTAGCCCCCAGTGGCGCAGTGGGTTAAAGCGCTGAGCTGCTGAGCTTGTTGACCGGAAGGTCACAGGTTCAAATCCAAGGAGCGGCCCCAGCTTCTGCCAACCTAGCAGTTTGAAAACATGCAAATGTGAGTAGATCTCTACTCACATTTACTACTTCCCGTCTACTCTGGCGGGAAGGTAACAGCGCTCCATGCAGTCATACCACCCACATGACCTAGGAGGTGTCTACGGACAACACCGGCACTTTGGCGTAGAAATGGAGATGAGCACCACACCCCAGAATTGGACACGACTGGACTTCATGTCAGGGGACAACCTTTGTTTGTTGTTGTTCATTCGTTCAGTTGTCTCCGACTCTTCGTGACCTCATGGACCAGCCCACGCCAGAGCTCCCTGTCGGCCGTCACCACCCCCAGCTCCTTCAAGGTCAGTCCAGTCACTTCAAGTATGCCATCCATCCATCTTGCCCTTGGTCGGCCCCTCTTCCTTTTACCTTCCACTTTCCCCAGCATAATTGTCTTCTCTAGGCTTTGCTGTCTCCTCATGATGTGGCCAAAGTACTTCATCTTGGCTTCTACTATTCTTCCCTCCAGTGAGCAGTCGGGATTTATTTCCTGAAGTATGGACTGGTTGGATCTTCTCGCGGTCCAAGGCACTCTCAGAACTTTCCTCCAACACCACAGTTCAAAAGTATACAAAAGGATACAATCTTCCTTCGCTCAGCCTTCCCTAAGGTCCAGCTCTCACATCACAACATTGGGAGTTGTAGTTGTTGGGATTTATAGTTCATCTACAATCAAAGAGCATTCTGAACTTCATCAACGATGGAATTGAAACCAAACTTGGCACACAGAACTCCCATGACCAACAGAAAACACTATAAAGGTTTGGTGGGCATTGACCTTGAGTTTGGGAGTTGTAGTTCACCTACATCCAGAGAGCACTGGACTCAAACAATGATGGATCTGGACCAAACTTGGCACAAGCACTCAATATACCCAAATATGAACACAGATGGAGTTTGGAGGAAAATAGACCTTGACATTTGGGGAGTTGTAGTTGTGGCATTATCACGGGGTGTCTGCGCCCTACACCACTGGAGAAATTACACCTCTTAGCCGGTATTGCACCACCTGACATCCACCGGGAAGTAGCAGCCAATAGTGAAAGGACCAAGGCAGTGACATCTCCAGCCCATCCCTTGTTTGGGTATAAGCCAGCACGTCAACGACTTAAATCAAGAAATAGTTTTCTAATCTACAGAGACACTCACTGGAACACCCCAGCAAGCGAGAGTCCAAAAGTGGCAGGTTCAAACCCAGAACCTCAATCAATGGCTGATACCAAATGAGAGACTCCCCCCTGGGCACACAGAAAACTGGGCGACTTGGAAGGCGCTGAACAGACTGCGCTCTGGCACCACAAGATGCAGAGCCAACCTCAAGAAATGGGGCTACAAAGTGGAATCCACGACATGCGAGTGTGGAGAAGAGCAAACCACTGACCACCTGCTGCAATGCAACCTGAGCCTGCCACATGCACAATGGAGGACCTCCTTGCGGCAACACCAGAAGCACTCCAAGTGGCCAGATACTGGTCAAAGGACATTTAATCAACTACCAAGCTTGCAAATTCTGTGTTTTGTCTTCTGTCTGTTTGTTTTTGTTAAAAATGTAATACAAATGTTTGGTTGCTGATGACACAATAAATGAATAAATAAATAGTTCATCTACAATCAAGGAGCATGCTCAACCCCACCAACGACAGAATTGGGGCAAACTTCCCACACAGAACCCCTATACTTAAGGCCATCCAGTCCAACTCCCTTCACCAGGGCAACAAAACGTAATCAAAGCACTCCTGATAAAGAGCCATCCAGCTATAGATAGATATAGATAGATAGATAGATATGATTCATACCCACACACAGATATAGTATCATAGATTTGAAACGGATTCCTAAAGAAGGACAATTATATGTTACATGTTGCAGAGTAGGCTAACCAGACAGCCTCCACATCAACACCAACAAAGAAACAACAAAAAATACTGTTTATCGACAAGCATTAAGGCATTACATATATTAGAAACCAACACTTTCTAATTGCTTTAAATTCCAGATCACCGAACTGGGCCGCAGCAACGCGTGGCAGGAGACGGCTAGTTATCTATATAAATAATGTAATGTTCGTTTGTAGGATTAACATATCTCAAAAACCACAGGACGAATTGACACCAAATTTGGACGCAATACACCTATCAGGCGAATGAGTGACCATCACTCGTAAAAACACTGAAAAACACAATGGAAGAGACTTAAAAAGCAAAAAAACAAAAACAAAAACATTACAATGCATGCACAAAACCACATATATATACAAATATATACACATATATATACGCACACAAAACACATATATACAGACGGGCACAACAACGCATGGCAGGAGACTGCTAGTCTACATAAATAAAAATGTAATGTTTGTGGGATTAACATAACACAAATAACAAAAATTACAACGCATGCGGAAAACCACACACACACACACACACACATATATATATACATACCCGCAAACACACATATACACAAATACACACACACACAACACATATACACAGCCTGGGCCACAGCAATGCGTGGCAGGGGACAGCTAGTGTGTATGTGTGTGTGTGTATGTTTAATTTGCCCCCTCCCCCCAAAAAACTGCCAAACTTTGATTTAGCCGTTTTATATAAGGGATGCATACATTCTATTATGCCATTGTACATAATGGGACTTGAGCATTTTGGTATTCATAGGGATCCTGGAACCAAATCCCAGCACATACTAAGGTCCACCAGTAGCACAATGTGTGCTGATTACAAAAATTACTGAACCCCCAAATGTTTTGCCATATGGCTTTTTGGAGATGCATGTCAATAGGTGCATCTACACCAGGAATGGGGAAACTTCAACCCTCCAGGTGTTTTGGACTTCAACTCCCACAATTCCTGGCCTCAGGCCCTTTCCTTTTCCCCCTCAGCCGCTGAACAGGAAAAGGAAGGAGCCTGAGGCCAGGAATTGTGGGAGTTGAAGTCCAAAACACCTGGAGGGCCACAGTTTGCCCATGTTTACACTATGGAATGAATGCAGTTTGACAGGACTAGATGGCCATCTGTTGGGGATGCTTTAATGGTGTATTCATGTATGGCAGCGAGCTGGACTGGGTAGCCCTTGTAGTCTCTTCCAGCTCTATGATTCCATGAACTGCGGTGGCTCAATGCTATGGAAGCACAGGAATTGTAGTTTTACAAGATCTTGAGACTTCTCTGTCAAAGAGTGCTGGTGCCTCACTGAATTACCAAGTCTCTAGATTCCATAACATTCAGCCATGGCAATCAAAATGGTGTAAAGCTGCATTCATTCCACAGTGTAGACAACTCCCAATGTCAGATGGGTGCTTGGGGTTCACACAAGTGTGGGGTTGCTGATGGGGCAGCTGAGATACTGCAAAATTCACAATAGGGACTGAAATATCAACCATAATTATGCATTGGTTGGACAACTGCATAGCTCCTGGTGGTGCAGCGGGTTAAACCGCTGAGCTGCTGAACTTGCTAATCAAGAAATCAGCAGTTCAAATCTGGGTAGTGGGGGTAAGCTCCCACTGTTAGTCCCAGCTTCTGCCAACCTAGCAGTTCGAAAACATGCAAATATGAGTAAATCAATAGGTACCACTCCGGCGGGAAGGTAACGGTGCTCCATACGGTCATGTTGGCCACATGACCTTTGAGGTGTCTATGGACAACGCCAGCTCTCTGGTTTAGAAATCGAGATGAGCACCAACCCCCAGAGTCGGACACGACTAGATTTAATGTCAAGGGGAAAACCATTACCCTTACTTGGATGACTGGGAAGCTTGCTCACTATTCTGTGATATCAGAATCCACCCTCAGAAGGATTTATTGATTGCCTGAGAGTGGATTTGGGATTCTCTCATTCTCTAATGGACCGATGCTTTTATCCATTCTTTTGAGCCATAGCAAAGTGTTCCTGGACTGCTACAACACACCCCACATATCTGCAGGACCAATATCCCGGGTTTCATTTATCCATGTCTAACAAAATATGTCCTCTCACAACATTTCTAAGATCCTCCAGCACAACTGTTTAGTATTCTTAAGGCCAGAAGTCCTTCATTTCAATAGGATTTCTTATGATCTGTGGTTTGGCATATTCATGGGAAAGACAGGGAGATATCCCCTGCAAATACAGGATCATATTGTATTTGCAAGCTGCTTTGGATGCTCCAAACAAACAGATTCATACATATCTACATCAGGAGAAACAAAACAGGGAGAAAATAAAAAGAAATTAGACCACCTTTGGTTTTAGAATAGACCTAAAATGTTTACAGGCGTTGGATGCATCCACGCTGCAGAATTAATGTTGTTTTACACCACTTTTAA